TGTTTTTTAAGCATAGGGATTAGATTATTCATTCAACAAAAGTCTCTTTTTTTGCATCCCAATAAAAGGTTTTACAATACAAGATTCTAGGAAGTTGAGGTTTTTTAAATACACGTAAACAATGGTTTTGGAAAGAAATTTTGGAGGAATCATACAATTCATTCCAGATAAAATGATTCCCAAGTCATATTGCTCTGGGAAAACTTTATGAAAATAATTCACAATATAGCACATATTAGTTCTTTTCTTTCTTTCTTTCTTTCTTTTTCTTTCTTTCTTCTTCTTTGTTTATTTCTTTTTCTTTCTTTCCTCCTTTCTTTCTTTCTGCCTTTCCTTTTTTGTGTACACATTTATTTTACATTTTGAGTTAAATTTCTGTGGGGGGAAAACAATCTTAAATTCTAAAATATTAGATTACAAAAATCTATTATACGGTTTGAATTTTTAAATAAGGAATCTGAAAAAGCTGCAACAATGATGTCAAGATTGCCTTTTAGGATGTTCCCAGTCTATCCTTAACATCAGCTTCACTGGTGTACAAGCCCAGCAGTTTTTCATTCTCATACCATTAACACTTTGTTAAGCAGCTTAAGACACTGCACCTGGACAGAGGTCTTCATGCTGCTGGCATTCATCTATTAAAGCAATGTGTAGACAATCTGAGAAGCCCTTTATGTATTCATAAGAGAAATGTATCCTACAAAAGATTCCTACAATTGCTTTTCAAGAATAAAATAGGAAATGGTTCTAGACTAAGAGTGCACTGTAACTTTTGTGACAATAAAAGACTAGTACTTGACCCACTGGGAACTCAGATAAATGCTATTCCTTGATAATTCAAGTCCAGTTTTGTATAGTCCCATCTTTTCCTTCTATATAAAGGAAGTGAGGCATGCCCTGAGACATCAGCTACACACTCTCATCTACTCAGACAAAGCAAGTCTTACTTGGGAAACTAAGAGTTCCCAAAAACTTCAGAAACTGAAGGCTTTATATTTCTTAATAGCTGACACTCAGCCCAAAGTTCCTGGGTGGGTTGCATGTCATTTTCCTGTATTGCCGCCTGAGACAAGCCATTCAGTCAAAGCTTGCCAGCTAATGAGGTACCACAAAGCTCTTTCTATTCCACCATCTGATTGTTTGGTCTGGTAGGCCCATCCATATATCCTGGATCTGAATTTTAAAATCTGATCCTGAACATTATACTTTTATGTGTGTCTTAATCTGACATCTGCTGGATTAAAAAGGTTGGATGAGAATGTCAATTTTCAGTAGCAATAAACATTAACAAATGTGTTTTAGCACCTCTTGATAGAAGTACTTAGAAATGTGATTCAGATGCTCACTGGAAGTCCAGTAAATGGAAAGAAATAAAAATTATTTGGCATGTGTTTATTACTTTATTTAGAAGTCAGGAATATTTATTTCCTTATCTGTCTATGTATCTGTCTGTCATCTATCTACCTATTTGCAAGTTTTTGCAGACTCACTCATAAATTCTGAATGCTTGGATTTGGTAGCAATGAAAATTTCATTTCCTAGGTTCCTTATGAAGGTCAATTCCTCCCTTCCACTTTTTTTGATTTCTGGAGAGCGAGATACACGTTCTGACTCTATCACTATGTCACAAGAGTCAGTAGACTTTATTTTACAGGTTCTCTGCAACTCTAGTTTTCTGACTGCTTTCAGTCAGTCCAATATTTTGGACATCAAGAACATCAATGATCAGTTTGGAACCTTGGGGAATTTCAGAAGAACCTGCTTCTCTTTCTGCCCTCCAAAACTCAATCATTATAGTGGTGGCTTGTATTTTCATTTTGACACCCCATAGTGCAAACTGATAACTAATCTTGGGGAAAAAGAATAAAGATAAAACGAATTATGCGTCCAATATGTGCTTACTAGGAATAGGGTATGAGGCACAGTCATGATCACACATCGCAAAATTAAATCTCTCTTAATCTGAAAACTCAACATTTCATCTACTTTGTTCACAGTACATCCATTAAATTCTTACCTAAGACATAGAACAATGTTTACACTTATAAAAGACAGAAAACAGCAAAATTTATAATATACCACAAGTAAGACTCAAGAACTGAAGACTTACTCTATCACCACATTTAACCTCGATAATAGAAATTATTATAACGTTTCTACATGCATCAGAAGTGATAAAATTTTTAATTTCTCTATGTTTTACTTTTCTTGTATAGGGTAGTTGTAATATTTTGGATTAGAACCCTTAAAAATGTAAAAAATCAAAGTAAATCTCAGATATACTTAATTATACATTAGAAAGTATTGAGAAGTTTCTGCAATTGCTTTGTATGACTATATCAAATATTTTAGGAGGTTAAGAAATAATTCAGTATGAAGTTTCTGAATAATTGGTATAATTATTCATCTATGACCTTCATAAAAAGTTAACAACTGAATATGTAGGAATAATGTGCTCCTCTGAAAAGATGGAGAAAGACAGAACATCTCTCAATAATTGCCTTTATAAAACAAAATTTCCTATATCATTCTTTAAGCCAAGGCTGTAATCTGAACTAATGTTCTTCAAAATAACATTTTTAAACTTAAGCTTTATGAGTTTCAGGAAAAAAAGGGGAAGGGGAAGGAGAAGGGGAAGGGGAAGGGGAAGGGGAAGGGGAAGGGAACGGATAAAAAAGAAGCTGTCTGAATTTCTGAATTAATAGCTTTACATACTGTGAGACCCTCTTCTTACTTGAACTTCATTCAACACTCATTGCTGCAGCAAATACAGCATTGATTTTGCAGCCAATGCACAGCTAGGGACAAGGTAAGCACCCTGAGGTTCTCACTGAAAGACGTGCAAAATAGAGAAAAATATGCATAAGCATGCCTTTCTTGTTTTGGTTTTTTTTTTTTTTTTGCTGCCATCATCCAAAAGTGAAGGCTAAAGGAAGGCTGCAATTCCACTGCAGAGAGGTCATCAGAAGAAAGCTGTTGCTTCCTCCTGATGTGGAGGAAGTGAGAGATTTGAAGCAAATAAAGGTCTCCCAGACTTCAAAATTTCGCTTAACAGCTCTGTGTACCTGGCTTAATTCTATGGTTTAAGTGTGTTTTCTAATATTTTAATGTTGCTATGCTTGCTTTTCATGAGTGACCAAAAAGCTGAATTGCCACCATTGACTTTTGTAGCTTAACTGACCATGTTACAATTATAGATTTTGTTTCCTTATCTAGTTCAGACTGCCACTCTGAATGCCATTCCTCTGACAGGTCCCTGGACACCTCCATCAGAGACTAGGGACACCTGACAAGATGCACTTTCCTGACATGCTTTAGCCTCTGCCTCCTCCAGTGACACATAATAGCTGGCTGTGTGTGGATTCACAGTCTGCTGAAAGGAAATGGGTTATTTAAAGCCATTTTCAGCCAGTCTGACTAATCTGTTAGCTCTGCACTTCAGGGATCAAGTACACAGTCACAAGGTAAGTCCAACTTGAGCGTGGAGCACTAGATGAGGGTGAAACAGTTAATATCATTTGAGGTCCTCTGCCATCACCCTGAATATCTAAATCACCTCTAAAATGAAACATGGAAGGGTGGTTTTGTTTTTGAAAAGTGTACATTGAAGATATGAAGACCATATTACCTTACCTTACTTTTTTTTCTTAGCTCTTATACTCTTACACCAAGCATGAGAGAAAAATATAATGGCAACCTATTTTTTTGTCTTATTCTTCTGTGTTTCTCATGAAAAAACAATCTGAAATCTCTTTTTATTTTTTTCCTTATATACTGCTAGCAGTGAATTTTGGAACAACCTCTGTTCTGCTTTGTAATTTCAGACCAAAAGATAATTCAGAATGTAAAATAACCACAATAGGACTAGGGATCTTATAGGTCTGTTGGAAAGAGAATGTTAGCCACTTGAGACCATACTGGGTTTCCAGTCTAGTTATATGATAGTTTTGTGAAAAAAGTGAAGGGTATCAGTTTACTCGAACCTTATTTAAGCAAAATCCTGAAGCGCATTTAGCATTTAAAATACTGAGACTGAATGTGCTTAAGTGCTTTGGTGTATTCAAGTCATAGTGATTATTACAAAAATTAGTGTATGCTCAGCTATATCTTGTCAGTGCATACATTTAATGGTTATTGAATGAATAAACTGATTAATAACATTTGCACTGAGAAAAGGAAATATAATTAGTTTTAATACAGTGAAAAGAAATTTTACTGCAAAAAAACCATCCCTTCCCATGTAACAAAGTTGGTATAACCATTGGTATGGGTATGTTCTTTCTATGCATATCCCTGTATATGTTTAATAATAATTGGTAGAAAATCTAATCTGTGAGAGGATTTGGAAATTCTTAGAGTTTTTTGTTTTTGATTTTGGGTCTGGGTTTTTTTTTGGAGGGGGGAGGGTGAGGGTGGTTTTGTTTTTTGGGTTTTTTTAAATGGTTGCGTTTAGGGGGTAGTTCGGGGGGGTTATTTATCTGTTTGTTTTTGCAGAATTGCTTTGAGAAAATACTTCAGCCAGGAAGCAGGGAAGGTTTCAAAAACAACGTCTGTCCCATTTTTCCTCTTGGTCTGAGCATCCAGGCTTCACAGGGCTTGCACTATCCCTCTATTTTAATAGTTGCTGTGGCCCCCAGTCCTTTCAGCCTGTTTTCCTCCAGACTGAAACTCAGAATCATTGAGATCCCAAATCTTTAGCACACACCACAGAGATGGAAAATATGTAATTTTCAGGTGGGAATTGATTCCTTGCGCTTGAAAACAATTTTTCCCATTCTGTGAACTTCCCTCTCAATTAGCCTCCAAGACTGTCTTAAACCTTGACATTGACTATTATTACAAAATTGTAGAGGTAAGGAAAGCAAATGCCTTTTAATTGTAACTTTAAGATGTTTTAATTTCAACTCATCTTTTGAATACTTCCCCAAGTTTCTCATGTAATCAGATTACTATTTTGATTTTTAACAGTGACAACACTGGGACATGAATTAGCTTTTGTCTTTTTTTTTTTTCCTGAACATGCATAGATTAGGTAAACACTGTAAATTCTTTTAGTGATTTAATAAATTATTTAGTTAGTGATACACAAGACTCTAAGCACATCTAGGTTTGTTTTCGCTAGCATACTTTTTAAAAGTCTCATTATGTGCTGTTTTCCTAAATAATTAGTCTTTAGTGGCAAGTTAGAAGTCAAGAACTTAAAATTCACTTACAAGCAGACTATTTAAAATATTAATTTTGAAGTTGCCATTTAACAGTTAGTTGATAGTATTCCCTTCCTTCCTTAGACCTATTCCCTAATAAATTAATGGCTAATACATAAAATACTGTGGCAGTTCTTACCAGCATATTATAAAAAAATTGCAAGCATATATACGTTTGACATGTTGCATTAAGAAATTGTAAGATTCTCAGTAGAATTTATGGTCAATATCAATTTCCTTGGTGTTATGTTGGTGTTCTTTATAACTTTGGAGAAGACTACAAGATTATTGTAAGTATGTTGAAATCTCAGTTTTGTACAATACATCATGCTTAAAAACTAGTTTTATTTGCAAATGTATTAGTCCAATTAATCTCAAGTAGGAAAAATTCACAATCGAGAAACAGCAATTGCAAAAAAGACACAGCTATGTTATCATCTTGATTTTCCATAGTATATTTTCACACAAGTATGATTTTAGATTTAGATAAGATAACCATAATACACAGTTACCTATAAACTAAATATACATTGTTTTCTTCTGCTGCATCAGTAATATGAACTTCTCTTGAGTATGTATGGTCTTCTAGCTTTGTTCACATGTAGCTGCCGTTTCAGAATATAGGGATTTTTTCTCTTCATTATTTCTTTTTCTTGGCTTGAGTTCTCTAGATCAAAAGCATCTTGCTGAAGTAACTGTAAGATGCAAGAAGAGACACCATGTTATCAGGTTTTTTTTTGGTAATGAAGATTATAACTTCCTAGAAATTTTTAAAAAATACTTTACATATGCCACCAAAAAAAATCTTTACTACAATAGTTGCAGGGTTAAAAAAAAAAAAAGACAAAACTCAAGACACAAACCTAAGATCAAGCTAAAGATCAGCTGAGACCTACAGAGATGATATTTAAATTCCACTGAAACAAATGAGATCACTGGTTTTGACTAGAGAGAAAAGCTAGTATATCCTCCTTGCACTAAAACTCAAATTTACTGAAAACTTCCTAATGATTCTCAGTCTGTAGTCACTCATTTAGGCTAAACACCTGCACTCCTTTCTGGTTTCAGCTTTTGAGCAATATTTTAATCTGCAACTTTCTACAGCCAAAAAATCAAAATGTGTAATAAACAAATTAGAAATTAAATAAAGCACAAGAAGCCAAAATTTTGCAAATCGAACTTGTATATATAATTGCATTTTTAGTTTTATTTGGGAGTTCTCAAAGATGTTGCAGTCTTTTGTATGAATTGTCTCAGCAAATATGAGGATTTAGAATAAACTTATTTTATACAGAGCTTCCTCTATAAGACTGTCTGTGAAGCTGAGATAGCTGAAGAAATCTGGTTTACTGGAAAGTAAGTAGTGACACTGAGATATCTTTTTTAGCTACACAAAGCAGCTTTTAGTGTATTATTTAACGACACAAGAGGATTGTGCCTAGTGTGCTTCTGTGTGATCATTGCACTACAACAAATATCACAAATGGACTACAAACAATCCCTATTTAAGAGCAGTAATTTTCATACAGTCACAATGTCAACTTCCAGGGCCCTCTTTAGGTGCAGGGAAACAAAAAGCACAAGTTACGTTGCTGCCAGTTTCCTAGCACTGATATGAAACCCAGAGTACCAAGCAAAATGGTATGTACACATGGGTCTGCGTCCATGCATTTTGAATCCAGTTTGCCTTAGGGTCTTAAAACAAAAATACTGACTGCATTTATTTATGCCTCAATAAATGTGAGTAACTTCACAACTGTTAAGCAGATATTAATTATGTATTCTGGCATAGAGATTACTTTCATGTGTTTGTTTGGTTATTTGGAATGGTTACAAAGAACAGAGAAAGTATCCAGCTAAGAAAAGTTCTCATTTATCCATGAGTTGTTATAAGAAACATACACTCAGCTCATCAGAAACTGCACTAATTCTCAACTCTTATTAAAAGAGGCATACTAGAGGTATTAGAGAATATAAAAAAAGGAAGGAAAGCTCAGACAATGTGATGGAGGTCAGATGGATATGGATTTTACAACACCACTAAAAATAGAGCCAGAGAGTTTAACAGTATTTAAAACATGCATTTGTGACAGGTTTTTTTACCTCCCAATGCTGAAAGGCTCTGCTGTGGCAAAATTTTTGGAGTTGATATACTGTCAGCATTGCTTCCAAGCTGAAGCCATCCAGAGGAGAGGGAAGCTGTCTTCCTGAAACGAGATCCTCTTCATCTACCTCTACTGTCTCTCCCACTTGGTTGTTTAGGTTGTTGACAAGATTGCAGACATTTAGCAGGGTCATTTTCCAGTAAGGAAGTTTTGCTCTGTTAATCTGAAAATAAAAATACCCACTATTTAATGTGTTTTGGCTTTTTAGTAATCATGTGCAATATTCAGACATTTTGTTAGGAGCAAGTTTGTATTTCTGAAGTACTTTTCATCTGGTCAACTTTTAGACAATAATTATAGAGTACTGAACTTAGGACAGCTCATTTACTAAGCACACTAATTCTGCTTCCCCAAAGCCTTACCCTGCAGGTAGAGAAACATGATGAAAAAACTAAACTGCTACCAAACCAGAATGACAGCATTTCATAGCCATTCTGCACAGGTGCAAACAAAACATAGATGGAAATTAATATAATATAAAGTCGCAGATGCAAATAAGGACAATGAATCAAACCCACCAGATAAATTCCCAGTTCTGGAATGCAAGCTGGATGCCTGTGGTTAACTAGATGCTCCTCCCCAGTTCAGAACAAATACCAGTCATTTCAAAATTCCCTGAGAAAAGGAAAGGAGTCCCTGCCCTGGCACAATCTGTCTGATGAGGCTGGGTCTGAAGTTATGGAATTTGTAAGCCCCAGGAGTTTTGGATGCTGGAGAGTCAAGAGCCTGGGAGATGTTAGTTGAAGCTACAGGCTTAGAGGAAGATGGAGCAAAGATAAAACAGACCTGTGCAAAAAAAGTATTCCTGACTTGGTAACTAGACTGAAAAACTGCGAACTATATTTAGGTGGTCCATAATGAACCTGCCCAGAGACATTAAAGAAATTTCATCACGGTTTGTCTCAAATTTTGCTTGTTCCAGTACCTTACATTATTTATGAGCTATTTAACTTTTAAACACTTCTAAAAAATTTTGAGAATCTTAATTTTACTTTTTTACTGGTATTGTTCTTTCCAAGCAGTTGTGGCAATCATCTTCTTCTATTTTGGTTATCAACAGAAAAAAAGTGAAAAAGTGTATTTCTACCTCATTAATTGCTTTTCATGTCTTTGCCACTTTCTTGGTTCTCCCACTATTAATTATTTCTTTCATATTGTGTTCCTTTTAGTGGTTAGTAGAAAAATTAGTTTCCTTAAACTACTACTGGTGACACAGCAATCTCCAATCAAAAGTCAAATAGCAAATTCCTATTTATTACTGGCAAGGACTGCCTTGATGTGCACATTAGGATTAGACTTTACCTATGAACTGAAATGTGGTTGCTTCCTTTCTTGGATGTCCTAAGTTAAATATAGGTATTACACTAAAACAGACATTGCCTTTCATACTTGACAGCACTGATTGAGAGTGTGGATGCAGTGCTTACTTATCTGAACATTGGGTAATTACATAATCTGTTTCTTTAGAACACCTTCCTAACAAAGGGGCATTGCATTCGAGATTTATTTATAAATATAAATATATTTACAAATATAAATATATTTATAAATAATTTATATTCACCACACTTCCCTATTTTTTGAAGGAGAAGAAAGAAAATTGAGAGGAAAGAGGAAGAAACAAGAACAGCTGGTATCACTATTAGCAACAGATAAAAAAAATTCCCTTTTGGCCATGATCATTACTCCGATATACCTCTGATACACACATGCCTTTCAAAATGAGAATGATTTAGCCCCTTTAGAATAGAACCACACTGTGTTCCCAGATTCCTGAGAAGGTTCAGAAAGAATAAGGAAAGAGTATTTTGTTTTGAAGCTAAGAAGAAAGCAAATCTCAAATCTTATTTGGAAGCTTCTAATTGGTTCTATACTGTTTACTTTAAGCTCATCTGTTGTCCCATCTAAGTGCCCAAGTTAGTCTATCAAATTATTTGAAAATATGTGACAGGTTCAAATAAAATCACTCTCTTTGCAAAATATCTAATTTTATTAACAGAAGATAAACTAGGGAAAAGTGTCCACTGCAATTTCAAAATGTTCTTTAGTCTGTTTTAAAATATTTGTGAAATATAAAAATATGGAGCTCTCTATGACGATTGAGGAGGCTTTTCCAGTGCACTTTTCTCTCTTGGGTATACAAAAGAAATGCAAGCTACCACTGCAACAGCTTAATTACAATGGAGCATAAAATCTAAAGGCAGTGCTACATGAGCAAATGAGATTTCTGAGTTAAAAAGAATCAAAAATGTTCCAATGGATGGGAACAAAAGAGAAGAGTAAAGGATAGGGAAATTTTTTATGCCTTTTTGCATAATATATAGAATCTTTTCGATCTAAAGTTACTATTTTATGTCAGCCTGATGCATGTCTATGTTTAAAGGAATTTTACCCTGTATATTAGTAAAATACTTAAATAGCAGACTTCATTAGGTGAAATTGGTCTTAGCTGATACTTATGAGGTTAGGAGGAAACAATTTTTCAGCACCATCTGCAAGTATACTTTGTTTGTGATGAGAGTCTCATTCCTATTAATAACATGCGTATATCACCTCGAAGTATTTTTACTTGGGTACACCTGCTTCTGACTTATCTTGCTACCAGCTCACAAGATGAGACTATAAACAATTAAGAACTTCACTCAAGAGTAAACTTTGGGTTTTTTTTAACTGAACAAGGAGTTTTCCAGGTCATGTCCAATCACTGAACAGAGCAGTCATGTTGTTTTTCTTCTCCACTATTACAGCAAGCATGAAAATCAAACAGTTTTGCTTTTTAGATTATGAAAAATCTCTGAGGCAGTTATCTTAAAATTATATATAAAAACACAGTTTAAGATGACGATAATCCAAATGTTCAGGTTAATTTCCAGTATGTGATATATTTTCCACAAAGGCTAAGCAATAACAACTACAGTAGCTCAAGACATGTTTTGAAAAATACCTACACAAGAGAACAAGGAACACTTATCTGCCAAGATGGAACCAATTTTTTAAGATTAACTTGAAAAATATCTGGGAATGATCTGAAGGAACAAAAGAGACTGCAGTATGAACAAGAATTTAAAAGGTATTAATGCTGAAGTGAACATGATGTGTGCATTTCCATTGTTGAACATGCTTTTGAAAAAAGACTCGGATATATGATTTCCCACATCTCATATATCTTGAAAGAGAATTTTACATCATAAAAGAAACTGAAAAGAGCTTGGGAACATTTTGTTCTTTGACAACAGGTTTGTCCTATGCAAGATAAAAGATTCCCAAGTTATAATTTATATGATATTTTATTTCCATTTATGGTTGAATGATACTCCTGATAGTTTGCTTAAGACACTTCTTTTATTATAATGCATACCTCCCAAATGCTATATTTTTTTTAGAAAAACAGTTATCTGGTTTTTAAATTCTTTTCTTTATGTAGCGGAACCAGATAAAAAACGAAGTCATAATCAAGTAAAAAGCCCAAGCTAGTGTAGGATCTCTATGGTTCCTTTCCAGAATAGTAGCTGAATTGTGTTCAGATTGTAACGATAGAAATAATAAAAATATTCTCTATGTTTAATCAGATATAATATTGAGTTCTGTTACAGCTGAAGTTCTTCCATGGTGTATACTTATACCTGTAAACCTAATGAATTTTCAAGTGATGACTAAGTCAGGAAGTCAGTAACTTCTAGGTAGCTCTTCTGACAAGAAGGCTAAACTTTCTGGACAAATACAGTCAGAAATAGGCATCCTAAAACAATGAAAAGCTCAGAGGGTCCAAGACTTCAGAAAATTAAGTCAGGTGGGATCCCAAATGTGGAGTATATTCTGGTGATGATATACTCTTCAAGGAAATGTTTTTTCCCCTATAATTAACATGGGGGGGACACAATTAACAAATGAACTTAATCATTTTTGAGTTCAGGACATTCTTCTTGCAATTACTGCTTTCAGGCAAGCATTTAGGAAGTTGTGAATAGAGTTATCCCTTTGACAGGAATAGAGTTTTCTATTTGATATGAAGCAGAGGAAGCAGATAACTATCCACATATTTGTGACATATCAGGTTTTGTCATTTTACCAGATCTTCCACATGGCTTTTTGGATTTTATCTTAGAGAAAAGCCAGATAAAGCATTTTAGGGACTTGTTTGCTCTTTGTATCTTCTTTAAGATGTAACAGCAGGGAAGGGTGATAAACTTTATCAAATGTTGAAGAGAGGTTATGATAAGCATGGACATACTTCTTTAAGGATGGAGAGTGATTCACCATATGAATGACTTTAAAGAGCATCTTGAAAAAGGCAGCAGACACTGGACAGCCGTTTGTGAAATCAAAGGCATACAGAAATTCTTCCTGCAATATTGGATAGACTACTGAATGCTGCAAAAGGTATGTGCTTAAGCCCTAGCAGTAGTCTTGATGATATATTTCACAAGTGCCTACTGAGGCAGACTTTTTTTCTGTCAAATACTAAACCCAGAAGTGATGATCCACTTTGCTTCACTTTTAAATCTGAGCTTTCGTAAACAATATTTTTTTCCATCTTAATACTGTTTAAATTGTCAGGATTTCCTTTGCTGCTTATTACAAAGTCAGTGTCAAAGACAGTTAATGCAACTGAGCAGTAACTGCCCTCAACTGGAATCAGATCTCTGGCACAACACAAGACAGCTATTACACAGCTGGCAGAGGACAAGAGGAAAAAAAAATTCATTTTAGTAATGAATGTAATAGTGGTATACCTCTTGTAGAAAAGTTGATGGATACTTTTTAGTAGTTCTGCCATGCCTTACTTTGATGCCAAAAGACAATGTATATTGTCTAAAATAATGAATTTTAGATGGTAATTTAAGGCAATACAATGCAGAATTAAAGCAATGTCCCCAGCATGAATCAACTGCTTCTGTCAACATCAAGTGTCACTTGATTGGTATTAAATACCATAAAGAAGTTGAATAGCAAGCTACATGACATGAAACAACATGAGAGTATTATGGAAGACATCATTATTGCACATCAACCAGTGCAATATATTTGTGCATTTTGAGTTACCTGAGCTTGTGTTCTGTGGTGAGAGGGAGGAAAAGTGGAAGTTATGTTCATAGATCCACTAAAGCCAGCAGTAGAAATACCGATAGCTGCAGGTTTTCCTTCCAGGGCATACTATGCTTTGCCACACACAGAAAGTACTATTTTTGTCAACCTCCTACATTTAAATATGCCACAGAAAAAAAGTAGCTATTAAATTTTTCTGTACCTTAGAAAAGTGATTAGCAAACAGGTTTATTTGTCATCTAAGGTTACTTACCATGCCATTAAAGAACATAGAAACCTAAGAACTGCCAAACCAGATAAAAAAAAATAAAATTATTTTCTGGTCTCATTTCTTCTTTTAGTCTATTCAATAATTCTGTGGAAAAGCTCACATATAAGCAAATACAGTAAACGCAGAATCATTCCTGGCAGGTATTGTACTTAACCTTCAACTAGTCATTGGCTTACGAAGCTCTCTTTTTTTTTGGAAGAAATTTTTCATTTCTCATTTTATTTTCTATTAAATTTAAGCACCACGTGAACTTCATTGGAACAATGAATTAAAATATTCACCCTTAAACCCATGGTACTTTTTTCAGGGTTTGTTCTTTAATATATTGCTGAAGGTATATCAGACATATATATTTCTTAAATCATTTGTGGAAAATAATAAGGTTAAGAAATTATTTGTCTATTAACCTGTTCAATACATATGAGCAACACTTGCTGCTTCACCTTGTCAATATGAGGTTTAACTGATTTTTTATCTTTTTGTGTTAAAAAACATGTAGATCATTCACAGTCTGGCAACTTAGCAAGGAAATACCATTTATCAGGTTAATATTTTCACAGTCATGTCCTCATGTTCCTGTACTAACACTATGATTAAATTCTTAAATCAAAATCAGCATATGTATTAACAATTTTTGCTTTTCGACTGTCCTAATTTTATATATATATAGGAAAAGTTCTGCATGAAAATAACACTTACAGATTTAACTCAAGGTTAATTTAGCTTTCATCAGGCATAATCATATTGGAAACACGTTTCCTCATATAAATTTACATCTCTGCACATAACACAGTTTTGACAGTTTAATGAAAGTACCAGTGTACATGTGAGGAACACATTTATTGTGTCACATCAACACCTTTAAATTTCCTTTGAACTGGAGGAAATCTTGCACCAAAGCAAAACCTAACACTGAACTTCTTGGTCTAGACCACAGGTTATTATTTTGTCCAAAGACTTCTGGGTTTGTAATGAGAATTCTTTTGCTCCCTCCCATCAGCTAAAAGAGGAAAAATAATTACCTTTGATGTGTACATATTGGTCAATAAATCTGCTTCTAATGCTTTCATTTCCTCTTCTGAATCTGGGAATAAACCAGAAACATATGTTTATTATTTGATCACAAATCATGGACATTTCAATTCAGTATACAAAACTTATATCAATGAATTTTGAAAAACAAGCACAGCCTAGATAAAACCACAGCAAAATGACCTAGAGGGATGGTGAAGAGTCTTCAGGTAATGACAACATTATGTTAAAAATGATACTTACTACCTTTTTAAAGCACAGTCAAGCTTATTGAGGTGAATGAAACAGTTCACTAATCTCAAATCAATGGTGGACAGGCCATTAAAGTGGAGTCCTTTCAGTAAAAAAAAACTGCTGCAATATTCTTCATTCAAAATCATTTTGATTTTCATAATAATAATTTGTTACCTCTTCTTACTGTGGAAGAAGAATTTGCATATTTATTTTTAAATAATATTTATTTAAGTAGCAGCTAAGCATTTAGGTGAATGGCAGTAATGATTACCTGATTAATAATTAATAGTCTTGTTTATTCTGAGTTGAATTAAGGCTATTTTTATTGATATGAGGGAACTGAGCTTGACCAGTTTGTGATACAAGATCTTGACAGTGCACATACAAAAATAAAACATTCTGTGTGGCAGTCTTCGGATTTTCTTTACTAATTTAATTGATCTTTAACAGTTCAGTAGACTCACAAGACCTGTGATTTGGTGAAAAGGGTAAAATTGTTGTACAAAGAGAAAACAGACACATACATTTCTTATTTGTGCTGTAAAGAATCATAATGAAGATCTGTTGCCTTGAAAATGTAGTAGCAATCACAGCTCAAAAAGGAGAAATATACAGAAATCAGTCCTCAGTCTTTAAGTGAAACAGTGTTTCATATAGCTTTTAGCTTTCCTGGAATACTAGCAGCCCTAAAGCCAAACAATACACTAATATTTCAAACCAAACTAAACCACAATCTATTCGATATTTATATAACTCACATCTCACTTTCATTAAAATGATCAATGCTGTTGGTATGTAACACCCTACTACTGAATCTGGGTATAGATTCTGTCTATGACTTCATTTCAGAGATCATCACCATGTTGTGTCACTACCTTTCCCAGAATATGAGATTGTAAGGGACCTTATACACAAATATGTGCTAATCTGTCACAGGTTTCTGTTAGCACAGAAGCCATTTTTATGCTCTTAGAAATCAACCATGCTCAATCTTGATAGATCTTACCACTACCATCACTGCGTTTCTTCTTCAGGAAATTTTTCAAAACTATCAATGTTTATTCACTTTCTTCTAATTCCAAGCCTAACTTATTTCTAATTACAAATTTATTCATGGTATGTATATAAATTCATACACTAAAAATGATACATTTCTATTTATAATATTTTTTCAGAGGAATCACAGTTCTTCCCAGCTTAGATTTTTGGTGAGTGCTTACACGATGATCAGCAAAGACCAGTGCAAGGTCACTATGCCTTTTTGAGCATAAAGCATTCCCCTGGAAATCCCATAAATGTTTCACTGAAAGACTATGCCCCGAGTTATGGGACTCTCACTTATTTTTCTCTCTTGTAATAGCCTTGTATTCTCCAGCTCATCAGACCAGCCCTCCTCTGTGCCTGATGTGTTCTCAAGAGAGCACAGTACAGTTTGAATCAGAAGCCTCAACACTTAACAACCTTAATGCTTACCACTAGCTACAGAGGATAGCTCTCTTACATATTTTTGTATATTATTTGTTTTTCATGGCTGAAAAACTTCAGTATCTCACACACACACATAAAAAAAAGAGATTAGACAATATGATCAAGTCTTTTATTTCCTCAGCACTGGCTGTGCTTTGATTAAAAGGATCTTTTAACGGGAATTTGTATTATTTGTAAGCTACTGCATTTTGTATTGTTGCACTGCTTCTCAGTTCAATTATTTAGGTCGTCAAAAACTTCTGTGAGTTACGCATATCCCATTCCTCTCTAGGGATGCTCCTGCTCACCTCTGCATTACCAACACAATACATTCATTCATTATTTTTTGCATTGAAGTTATTGCATTGATGTAACTTGCTGTAATACTAATCTACAACCAGTCTTATTTAATATTTAACATTTTCATATTAAATAAGACTAGTTGTAGATCAGTATTATGGCAAGTCACTAGTAACTATTCTCCAACCTAATGCCTTTTTCTTCCTTCCAGCAGCAATGCTTGTCAGTTTTACCTGACTTCTTAATTGCTTTGCCACTACCCAAATTTCGGCTGGCAGCACAAGATCACCTTGGGTGAATTTCTACCACTGTTAGAAGCTGCTGTGAACAGGTGAGCAGCACACACAATGATAGCATCATGATTTGTGGTGTCCTGGGTCATGCCTGCCGAGAGCAGTAAAAGGGCTTGTGTCTGATTAACATCTGGGTTTTATATTCTATAAAGGATGTAAGATTACCATTAAGGTTGGAAGGTAGCTGCAGCTGTGGAAAGCGGGTAGGTATTAAGAAATATTTGGATTGAGAAAAGAAGCTTAGAGGACATTATTTAGGAGTCTAGCCAAAATTCTTTGAATGAATAATAAAGCAAGGCTTGGAGGAAGAGAAGGAAGCACGTCCAGGTAATTCAGGAGTGAAAGAGGTGGACAATGAGCAAAAGCATAAAAGGAACAGGGTCTCAGAGATCAATGTATAAGAAGTCTGGTCATGCATTATCATTCAAATCAGAGGGAAATCCAAACAGTTTGATGTCTTCTTGATTCTACTGACAAGAAAAAGTTTCTATTCATATATTCATATTTTACAGGAACAGTTACATTCTACAGTAACACACTGATGGCAAACGTTTTCAAAAGCAAATTAAAATTAACCATCATTTGACATAACTGACCATTTTAGTTAAAACTGATTTAGGCTCCTTCACACAAACTTCTCTGTAGCATTTCTCATTTTAAAATAATTTCAAATTTTCAAGCAAATAAACCGTCAATGTTATTTACACATACAATTTTGCTTCTGCTTTTGCTTTTTTCTTTTATGAACCTATTTTACTTTCCACTGAAATTTTTTACATTAATGGGCTTTCATTTAGGCTCTACAAAGAATTAAATTTGAATCTGCCTCATTGAAAATACTAGAGGAATTTGTTTAAAAAGCTTCAAATAAATGGGGAGAAAAAAAATCAATGTTAAGCCTTGTCGCTAAGATCACCAGTTCTCTACAATATACAAAATGATTATATTTAAACTGTGATAAAATGCAGGTATTACATGTGTTACATTTTTCTTCTGCAGGGAATACAAATTGAAAACTTTCAGCTAAAGGAAGAATTAGGATTTCTGAGTCCTCCTGAATACTGAAGTTGAAAAGTGAAGATGTTTGTAAATTTGCTCACTAAATTTTGTGGAGTTAAAAATCAAAGTAATTCAAAAGTTAGTTAAGAGTGTATTTTTAAGGCTATTCTGCTTCCTGTCTGTCTGTACACCTGTGTGTACCCATTTTTTGTCATAAATTTGGGATATAAATGCTACATATTCAGAGATATCATTTTCCAAAGGAGCAGGCAGTGCATTTTAACTCCTTTTGAGTTTCTAAAGCAGTTACTCTTGGAGAAGAAATGTATTTACATTGACCTTCCTGTTTTGTCATCTGCATCTGCTTCAGCATTTTTTGACCAAAATTTCAGATCAATTGCTAGCAATTTTTTCCCCACATAATAAAACTGTATTTCTCTCTCTAAAAAGTGACAAAAGTGTATACATATTCATGTTGATTTGGATTACAGCAGCTATTCATGAGTTGCAGAAATCATAATTTCTATCATAATTTGAAATACATGATATTCAATGAACCACGAATGAGGTATCGCAACCAAGCAGATGGTCTGCACTGATTTGTATCTCCAATGACTAGTCTACAGTTACTTCCATGACATGGATGCCGTGAGAAGGAAGGGCTTATATGAAGGGAGAAAGTTACGGGAGTAATACAAATCATGATGCTGGCCGGAGCCCGTTACTAGAGACAGCTCCCGGGCGCCTACCGGGGACAGCTGGGGAAGCCCGAAGCGACTTCACCTCTTTTCTTTAGGTCTCTCTTACAGCTCCGGGAGCATTCAGTGCCGAGTGGTCGAGGGACTTCGGGGACGGGCGGTGCGGGGCGCGCCCGGTCGGACACGGTGCAGGGCGGCGGCGGGGACTTACCTGAGCAGAGGCTGCAGGAGGCCAGGGCCAGCAGCACCACGCACACTAGCTGGACTCTCATCCTTGTCGCGCCGCCCTCTAGAAAGTAAAGTCCATAAATCCTGAGGAGAGACGGAGAGAGAGAGACAGAGAGAGAGAGAGACAGAGAGAGCCCCGCCGCTCCACGCCCTCCGCACGCGTGCTGTCGGGCGGCTGCAGGCACCAGACGGGGGACACAGACCCTTCCCCAACTATATAAGCCGCGGGGTGATGTCACAGCGGTGCCGCCGTCGCCTCCTGACGAAGATCCCTCCCTCCTCCCCCCATACCCCGTGCCCCCTCCCGCTGCCCCTTCTCCGCTGACGCCACTCTGTGCCTGACGCACGGCGAGCCCCCGCACCCACCGCCGCGGGGCGCGCCCCGCGCGGGCTTTTCCCGAAAGGGAACTGTCCTGTGGTCTGGAACGGTCCCATTTAATTTTTCTATTATTATTATTAACAAAAAAAAAAAAAAAAAAAAAAAAAGTTTCCTCGGGTGCTCGGTCCCCCGGCGCGGGGCCAGGGGCGGTCCTCGTTCGATTGACGCCTGATGCGCTTTGTCTTTCATCTGTAGAACCTTTCCCGATAGCGAGGGAAACAACCAGGGAGAGAATCGCTCACTGCTGATGGGCAGGGGTGCTAAAACGGGGATGTGCAGGGAACGTGTGACATGGGGTACGGTAGGGATATAACTCAGACCACGGGCAGGGGTGTTGCATGGAAAGTCACTTGATAGAGTCAGTCATAGATGAACAAAAAATCACGATACCCGACCCTATTACTTCTGAAGAGCGCTTGCCACAGCCACCCGCTGCGGTTTCAAGAGAGTGAGCGCTCCTAGGAGACGTTTCTCTCAAGATGCGCTTTTCCCGGCTGATTTTTACACTAGGTATCCTTCCTCAACGCCCCGCACAGAACAGGCTCCGTGCAGAGCACCCGGAGGTCAGAGCAGGGACCCCAGGCGGAGGCAGGGCGGCGGCGGGGCGGGCGCGCCCTACCTCGGAAGGGGGAGCGTGCTGGGGGGCGCGGGGTCCCCCGTCTCTCTACCGCACGCCCAGCCCTCCGTGCGAGCCCCGGAGCCGGGCTCTCCTGCCGTCCAGCTCTCAGCAGATGAGCCGTAAAGCCCAGGGAAATGACCCGAAGGTGAGGGCAGGGTAATCTCTAACGTGTGGGTATAAAACCGTAAAACTGAAGACTGGCGTCAACCTCCATTGCGCTACTGCTTTTGCTATGGGTATTTTTTTGTTTTGTGTGGTTTGGTTTAGGTTTTTTTTGGTTGTTTTTTTTTCCTTTTTTTTTTCCCCTCCAGATACACACAAATGCTCCATATGTTGAATGCAGATACCACAATACAGAACATTTCGGTCCCTTTGAATACACTTAAGGGCCGATACACATGGCACACGTAGGTAGGTAGGAACACACTCCGAGAGTAGATTGTTCTGTCGTGGACGTGCTCTTTACCACAGAAAGGTTCCTTTAAAATGCAAAGAGCAAAGACGGGTGTTGCTTTCTTCCTGCACCCTCTGTGACTGAATAGGTGTCACAGAAAAAGAAAACACACAGAATTTTCAAAATCCTGTAATGAAGAACACTTGGCAAGAAAAGTTTAATTAATTGAATTCTTTCTTCATTTAAACAACTTTTGCAGTACAACAGAATTTAAATTTAAATGTTGATTTGGTTTATGGTCAAATAAATACAGACAGAAATGAAGTTCAGTGCATTGCCATGGTACTAGCTGTTTTAAGAACACATTTTTTGCATATAGTACATCTTTCTGTACTACTGGGAGAGAAATTAAAAACAAACAAACAAAATCCCCAAAACACATTTAGTACATTGTATGGCCTGTGCTAGTCTACCAGAAAGTTTCAGCTGTCACTCATCTGCCTTAGCACTGAGGTTAGATTAGCTAACCACTCACACTTCCCTCTAGTTCTATTTTCTATTATTTCTATGATGTAGAAAGACCAATCTGCAGCTGATTTTTCTCTGTGGGTGTTCAAGAGTCCAGAAAGCTCTATGAATGAGAATCATATTTCATAGATATTTTCTAGTGCCTACTGCCTGTCACAGATTTCTTCAATAGTCTAATTACCCATATTCTTATGTAACTGGAATTTAAAGGAATGAATTTTACTTTTTTTGCCAGGAAGAGAGTAATTTCCATTTATCCTGCCATTAAAATCTCTGATCACCTAATTGCTGCTTCTTTTTCTTTTTTTTTTTTTTCTGAGTTAATAATTACTAGTGATTTCAGAGGATAAATGTATGGTATGTTATGAGCCATAATCTTTTTTTCATTGCTTTGTTTTCACTTTTTTTTTTTTCTTGGAAACTGTCAAGGCAGAAACTTCAGTGCTGAAAATCTTTGCTTTCTGACCATGCTATTCTTGACATATTATCTTCAAGTCCCCCAGATCAGGCACAACTGCGCTTGGACAGTTACATTTTTTTCTTGATAAAACTCAACTATCTTCTGTTTCTCAGAGGCTCCTTTATTTACATTTTCTACCTCTTTCCTATATCTGTACCTTGTACTACTTCACAAAGAACTGCATGATATGAATTTTAACCCTTTCAACAATTAATTCCCTAAATCACTTTGATTTCCTCAAGTCATCTTCATATCACATTTCTCCTAATGCGAAATGTGATTTAGAGAAGCTTTTACAAGGAAAAAACCCAACCTCTTGGCAGATCTGTTTCTCTGTCTCTCTCTCTCTTTAAACATTCCTAACTAAAGAGAATATTTATAACTATTCATTAGTGTCAGTTGGTTTGGGAAATTCAGTTTATCTTTACTTACCCTCAATGTGTGATTTAGATGGCCTGTCCAGGCCTATAAATCAGATCAATTTACAGCTGCGAGGCATCTGAAGATAATGAAACAATCACACAAATGGCAGATTCATGGAAGAACAGATAGATGAACCTCTATTTATTTTGTCATAAAGCTACCAAAACATATGGATAACACCAAACACAAAAGCTTTAATCACCAAACAGAAAGAAAGAATCATTCTGTTAATGATCCTGGAGTAGACAGAAGTGGAGATTATTATAAGGAATTCTCAGTGTTCCATGTAGCAGTCTTATGCCTTTGAAATGGAAATAAACACAGTGTAAATGAATAGAAAGCAGTTCAAGATGTTCAATCCTCTCATTAAATATATTTATATATATATATATATATTGAAAAAGTCTAAGAACTTTTTATGTTTTTTAGCCAAACCTAGAAGTAGTTCTAGAAGTATGAAAACTTCAAGAGGAATATGAATTCTGGGGAATGGTCAGCAAGACAAAATTTTGAACAGCAAGTTCACTCACAATTTCAAATTTGAATTTAGTTGTGGTGATTAAACTCCTTTGCTCCTACAACAGTTTGACTATCAGCAGTTTAGGTTAATATGCTGGGCAGAAAACTAATGACTCAATTTCTATCATTTTGGGTCAAGGGACAAGCTCAAGCAAAGTAACAGGGCAGACAGGAGAGGGTATTCAAAGTACATTTAAATCATTAACATAGTCAGACAGTGAAGCTGGCATTGTGAGTTCTCAGCATCTCTTTCTCTGAGCTTAAAAATAGGTCTAGAATTTTTTGGTCAGGACAGTAATGCTCAAAAATTTATAGTGTGTTCAACTGCTGAAAGCCCCAGAGACCACCTGTGCTGCAAAGGATATCAGAATAGAATTCAAAGGTAAAGGGGAGATAGTGCACCATCATTTTAAAGTAAAACATTAAGCATCCTCCATTTTTTAGATTTATGAGGTCGTACACTTTAAGGGAGTCTTCAGAAGTCAACTGAGTAATGCTAAAGAATTTACTGCTGTAGAAAAAAATCTCAAACACATAAGCATTATTATCTGAATCAAAAATGTTTCTTAATATGCAACAAATTTCTACGACATTTTGTAAGGAACTACAAAACAGCAGAATGGATGACTAATGAGCTCACCCTTTGTGTTTGAAAGTTCTGGGGCCTTAAACTGTGAAAGTGACATTCTGTGTAACCTCTACATGAGGTCTACATGTATGGTAGAGGATTTTTTCTTCATGCTCTGAGGTTTTAAACAGGAACAACATCTCAGCACCCTGAGGAATCATGATTCTCAAATCACAGAAAATTTAAAAATATCATTTCACCAGAATAATCTGAAGTATCATTTCGTCTTTTGAATTAATTTTTTTTCCATTAAAACACAGCCATTAAATTTCCAGAACTTTGAGATTCTCTTAGGTTGTAATGAAAAGACAGATTCTGTATTTCCTTTACTATAAAGCAAACACAGCATGTATGCATCTACACACCAACAGTTAAAACAACTGAAAACACAAACTTTTTGGACATAGATATATAACAGTTTGGAAATTGTTTAAGAAAAGTCAATTTGGATAAAAAAGGCCATAGGAAAACAATCTTCACTCTTACTCCTAATTTCAATTCCTGTTTTATTTTTTTCCTTTTACTAGAACCCTTCTATATGAGAAAGCAACAAGTGCAGTTAGAAGTGCCACCACAGTGTGTCATGGGAGTTATGCTTTGGGCACCTCCTCCTTACCTTCACCTCTCAGCAATTCATTCCCAAGCCAGACTGCATCTTTCTCATTTCTCTGATTACGTATTTTCCCCAAATATCTAAGTTAATAAATTTTTCATTTCTCTCCAGTGAACTATGAATATTTTAATTTAAGTTCCAGGATCTAATATATACAATACACATGGGTGAAAGGCCTTATATAACTTTGTTGACTATTACATATTCATGTAATCCTCTGCTCATCAGACTGATCATGCTTTAAATTTTTTTGTTAAATAGATGAAGTAGTTAAAAGATGCAAAATTATTTTTTTAATACTCTTACTGTTGGACTGATTAGATAACAATGATTATCCACAATTTCTGAAAGAGCAAAATGAAATTGACCTGAATTCAGAGGGTTGATTCTCTTTTTTCCCATGATATTCAGTTTTTGTCTGTAATTATTCTTCAGTGTTCCGTGGAACATGGTAACAGAAGACATACAATATGCATTGTCATATTACACTGGTTCAATTATGTCATATAAATAGGAATTGGACTCTTCACTTTGAAACTTCTGAAATCACCTTTCCTGCCACCTTCACAAATTTCTTAAATAATTGTGCATTTTCCTTGTACCCAAAAGAGAAATTAATCTTAACTAGTTATTTAAAATCACACAGTCATGAAAAGATTTTTAATTAAAAATACTGGGTAATATTTACTCTTTGTGCAGTAAAGAGATAATATGTTATTATTACTGTAAATCAGTGAGATTATGCTGAGACCTTCATCTTGACCAGTTACAAGTTCTTCTCTAGGAGTCCTTAAGAGGTTCCCAAAGAACTAGTAGCCTTTTTTTTTTTAGTAATAAAAGGGATCCTCAAGAGTCATGGACAGCCTTGCACAGTTCTTCTGCTGAAACATAAGAAAAAACTAAGAATCACTTAGTTTGTTAGTTATTTTAATGCCCTCATTCAGTTTGTTAGTTTTTTTCCTTCAAAAATTTCATTAAGCAGGGCAAAAGCACTAGTTTTAAACTTATTATTAATATACAAGGTTCTTGGTTTTATGGGTAGATTGTTTAAAAATCATTGTTAAATCTCATTGGTTTTGATTTAGGAGTAATATTCAGTAACAAAATATGGATTAAAAGAACTGTGGTTTCAGTACCGTGCCAGCACATACATACCAAGTATACAACACTTCTGCAACTTCCAGCTTTTTTACCTATGAGGGATGGAAAGCGTCTATGTAATTTGCACATCTGTGAACTGAAATTTGCATGCATAGTATTTAAGAAATTCCTAGGAGATTGAAAAGCAGACAACCCAATAAAGACAGTCAAAGTGGTAATAAGAATACATGTTA